TGGTGGAACCGACCTTCGAATCTCTTCACCCAACACTTCTACTCGAAATGGAAGTAATCCCAACAGTTATTTTTGCTGTCCTAATTACTTTGATCCCCCACCGTCGGCATCGTGCATAGGTGAACACATACAGACAAACACACATACAGAGACAGACACACTCACATGCCTCGAGGTTGACATATGACTGGAACTAACCAAATCACTTTATACTTCATCAAAGAGTTCATACATAGAGTAGTTAATTTGTGTATATAAGTAGAGTTTCAAGAGTATATATGCAGCTTTTTAGAGATGAGCCGGTGAGTTTTCTTGACTTGTTAGCTTGAATTTGGTTGTAAAGATGATACCCGACGTCGTCGAGAGGACGGTTAACCTCTGGCAGGCAGCACATGCAGTCAGTCACATGAAGGAGGCTGGCTTCGCCGGTCCCAATCTTGAAATGTTGTTATGTTGTTTGGTGATAATAAACCAGACGGGCATTCAGAAATCAACTTTCTGGTCTCTCTGCAACAGCAGTTCGGGCTCAATTTGCCCAGCATCCAACGCAAAATCCTGCGTCCACTTGGGCTTCAGCGGCAACGGATACCATTCAGCATCGGGACTCTAGCGCTAAAGCTCAGATGATGAGGGTGTTCTCGCCAATTTGCATTGAAATGCAGGTCAGAGTACAGTCTGTACCCACATCTCGGAACGTCTTGTGCTGCTCTTTTCAATGATCAGCATCACCACCACTAACAACTGAAGCCATAGCTTGAGTCAGGGTCCAACAAATCTCCGCTTCGCGACCAGCAGATCAGATTGTGTCTAATGCGAAGGGGGCAGAGAGGATGAGCTGAGACTCTGGATCACTGGACTACTCCAAGCCTTGACACACATACTGTTCATAATAAACCACATACAAGGAGGTTTTATATTTATTTCCTGACACACTTGCAAGTTCCACCGACTCGAGTTACCGTCTCCCCGTCTTCCGCACGCATTCAAGGTTCACACATACTCTCCAGTCATTATTTATGCCGGTCGGATGGTTCGTGAGACCAACTTTTACTCTCGACTTTCGCATTTCTCTCGCCTCTTTGCCCAGCCAACCTACCAACTACGTCGTCTCGGCAGCCTGAATCATAGTCGGGGCCACATTATGCGGCAAAGAAATGTCTTTTTGGCAGGTATCATTATTATCGCAGGGGTATTTCGGATATGCCAACCCATGAGAAAGTCAGATGAGCTGCTATTCGTGCCAATTTATGTGACTTTCTAGCTCACATGTGGGTCCTGGTAAGCGTGAGGATGTGTGCTTGTTTATGGGTGTGTGTATTGGGGTAGATGGGGGGGTGATAAACAAGCTTGTATACGAGTATTGGAATTTGGGTGTAAGCCTGTACGTTGGTGTGGATTATATCTTGTGTACTATGCCTGAGCCTGTCGTTGTGGCAATGGTGAGTGTGAATGTGATAATGTGCATGAATCTATGTTAGTGTGTTGTTGGGACGTAAGCTTGCGTCTATTGAAGACAGTCTATGTTAGTGTTGATGAAAATGTGGTTGTGGTTGTGATGTGCGCGAATAAATTGGATGTGGATGTAAATTTATGTCTGTGTATGGGTGTGTTGGTGTGCATGGAGTAGATGCTTGAATGTTGGCATTAGTGTGGGTGTGTGTGGGGGTATGTTGGCTTGTATGTAGTTGTGGCTGTAGACTTATGTGTAGGCTGGGGAGTTTATAAAGGAATTGAAAAGTCATCACTACCCCCCTCGTTTAGCCACACGTAGGGAGGCTAGTCCGTGTATGAGTAGACCCAATCTTGCTACCTGCCTTGAGTACATGCTCTCGGGAAGACTCGAGGCCCACATTGAGAAGTGGAGGGGGGTAGGGTAGGGATAGCTGGTTTGGCGACGAGCCAGTCCTCGGATGGAGGGTGTGGAAGCCGAGCTGTAAACAACCCTCTGGCCAGCAGCAAATCTGCCGGTAAAACCACACACAGGTCTTCGAGACGTTGGTCTATTTAACTTTTATTCACACTTCACTCGTCTGTCTCATCGTTGCTGCAACGGATGAGCTTGACACATCTGCCTCAGGTTCACGCTCCCCACTCACCACATCCTCACAGCTCCTGACGGCAAATGTTTGAGACCTGCATATGATAGCATGCAAATTCTTTTTCCCACTTTAAAATATCATTTCTACGCCTGTCTGTGTGTGCGTGTGAACACACACCATGTCAAAAGCATGGGTCAAATGCCTGGTGTCGTTCATATCCTGTCGGCGACGCCATCCCACAACACTGTTTCATACAATTTCCTTCCTTTAAGTGTCAACTTCTCGTGGGTTCACAATTTTCATATTAAACTATTCACCTCCGATCATTTCGGCCCACCTTCAGATTTGCGCCAAAACTGAGCAGCGCCCTCAGCCGGTCTTATTATCTGCTGCTCTTATGGTGTGTGTGAGTGTGCATGTAAGTGTGCCCACTTGTGTGAGTATGCTTTACTGTGGAACGGCCTCCGATGAGATGAGAGTCAATTTTCGATAGTCCCACAACGAACCCACAAATGGAAAGACACCATTTTGTATTGGTGGTTCAGTTGTTTAGTGTTGATTCGACCTCGTCTTCGCAACCTCGTCTGAGCGACAAGGAGATCTTGTGGAACATACCGAGTCCTGCATCCTCCTACATAGGAGTCATAATTTCCAGCATTTGATCGGTGAATTGGTACATTCCCAGACTACAATGACGGCGAAACGTCTGAGACGGCACCAAATGAACTGTCCGATTTTGAAAATTGTTATGACTTCTTTGGCCGAGGGCGTAGGACTGGGTATGTTCCACAACGTCTCCTTGTCATCTCGACCAATTTGCCTTGGAAGATGGGCATCATCTGCTTCCTGAATTCGTTTTGGTGCATAACGATGCCCAGGTTCGGATGAGCACAGATTTTGTCAAAGCAATAGCTCATAACATCACACATTCCCCTCTGCATCTCTCACTTTTTCCTACACTTCATTTTGCATCGACATACCATCCGACAGTTTCTCCAAAGGCGCTGACCAGAATTAGGGCCACTAAGTTTGTTTAACGAAGCTGCTCTGTGCTGTTGTGCAACCGCTCCGGACATTTTCCGACCATCATGGGCCCGCCACAATCAAGGGCCATCTCGATGACATCCAGATATGGAAATTATCGATGTCTGTAGCACTTTTGGTGTCGGAAATGTGGCGGATGCCCAGACATAGTTGGCTCGACAGATGAAAAAACGGATCCTTTGCTCAAATCTCGAAAATGGTGATGATGCAGCTTGGTAGAATTCTCTTTGCTTTATTGTCGATTGTGTTAACTCTCATAACAAATCATGCAAATATTGCTTTAATCCTTGAAATTTCCCACCTATCCGGCAAACCATACGCCCACTCAGCATACCCAAGTTTACGCTCTTATTAATGCATAGGCCTACATCCCACTCCACACACACACATACACACGAGATTAATACCAGCTACCCTCAGGCTTTTACCTACTTACACGATCACACTCGCATGCACATCAACCAATTTATCAAATTTTGTAAAATTTCGGTGCAAACGAAATCAAGATTGACTCATAATTTTCCGAAGATTTTGTTAGACATTTGGCTAAGTCGAAGGATAGTTGGCAGAAGATCACTATATCTCTTTTTAGATGTTATCATTTTATGTGAGATGGTGAATGGCTCCCTCAAAAATGTTGCTGTTGTGAATGATGGTTTTAGCAAAAGTTTCCCCATCCAAACCAGTTATCCCTATTCTACCCCCCTCCACTTCTCAATGTGGATCTCGAGTCTTCCCGAGGCCAATTTGAAGAGAGCATGTAATGAAGGTAGGTAGCCTCGCCTAGTCTCTTGTAAGGCTTTATAATTTAGAGTTTACTACATGTTTTGACTTGCCTTCGTCTCGTCAGGAGCACCAACGGGACTTACAGTGAGTTCGTCTATGAAGGAAATATATGTTTGTCAATAAAATCGACAAGTTTACTTATTTGCAATAAAATCGTGCACAAAAATATTGAGTAATTCTCGTATTTC